GCCGAGTCCCAGGTCAACAAGCTGCGGGCCAAGAGCCGCGACATCGGTGCCAAGGTGGGTCCCTCCCCAGACCCCGCTACTCAGCCCCCTAACAGCGCGGCCCCAATGTCAGTGCCCTCTTAGTGGGCACTCCTCCCCCTGTATTTGGATAGCCCTGAGGGTCCCACAGCACTCACACCTGAGCATCCCCCCTCCTGCTCAGAGAAGCCCCCACAGACTGGAACCTCCTTAAAAAGCCCAGTCCCACCCCCCCGAACCACAAGGACCCCTAAATGGGACCCCAAGATCCCTGAGGCCTGAACCTCTCCCCACTAAGGGCATCTCCCTTAGGCCCCTCAAAGCCCTAGAGATGCCTCCCCACACCCTTCCTCCCTCCCGCCAGCTGCCCCCTCACACCTTTTATTCTTTCTCAGCAAAAAATGCACGATGAGGAGTGACACTGCCTCTGAGCCTCGCTCTTGCTGACCTGCAATAAACATGAGTGCCAGACTCTGCCTGAGCCCCTATCCTTCCCCGCCGACCATCCAGGAGCCGTCCTGGACTCCTGGGGGAGGGGGGGCCCTGCCCCTGTGTCAGAGCTGGGGGAGCCAAGACACCCCACATCTACCGAAGAGGAACCGAGGCCCATGGAGGTGAGGCGGCTTCCCTGAGGTGGCAGAGCCGCGAGTCCCCCTACTGCTCAGCCAACCAGACAAGGGACGAGAGGGAGAAATTCCAAAAGTGGAGAAAACAAAGGCACCAGAGGGTGAGCCAATTCCAGACACTAGGAGACAGAATTGCACTGCGGAAGCTGAAGCCACCCTCCACCTACACCACCCCTGAGGCCACGGGAGTTAAAGTTGTCCTGGGACACCTGTTTCCTCCAAAATGACTTCCCCACCGATGCCAGGAGAGGCTCAGAGCTGGCTGGGGATGGAGATGTGGATAAAGAGGGTGACGCAGGTCTCTTTCTGGTCAGCCCCTTAGAAGTAACCCACAGGGAGCCCGCTCCCCTTAACCCCCCGGTACAGTCGGCTGGGGCCCGGGTCTGTGGGCCACACCCCATCGTGAGGACATCCTGAGACTCTGCAGCCAGCTGACACCAAACTGAACCAAAGTGTGGACCAAACCTAGGTCCCGCTTGTCTCATCTTGACCTCTCACACAGACACAGACGAGCAGGGCACGCGCAGGTGCACACCACAGAGCACACTTCTGCTCCCTTTGAGCTCCCTCCAGGGACAGGCTGGCCCGTGTCACACGGCTGCTCAGGGGACAAGGCGGGTCGTTACCCCACTCTGCTCCTAGCAAATCCCTGCCCCCTGCTGGGCTTTACTATGGCCAGGCCCTCCTGACCACCTTCTCATCCCTTCATGGCCCCCCACCATCTCCTGGACTCCCCTGGCTAAGCCCTCCCTCTCCCTCTTCTGAGGCCTTGACCACCCCTGCCCAAGGTTGGTCACCAGTGTTGAGAATGGCCTGTCGGTAAAGTCCAGAGAACTGTGAGCAGAGACCAGAGCAACACAAAAGCCAGTCAGTTCTAGCCCTGGAGAGGCTACCAGTTCCGGTGAGGAGCCAGGACATGAGGTCAGGAGAACAGGAGCCCAGAGGCAGGAAAAGCCAGACCAAGAGGGGCTGGTGGTTAGCACCAAGGGGAGCAGAGCAACTCTACCAGAGTTCAGGTTCAGGCAGGGCTTGGGTGCTGGGGCCTGCATCTGGAAGGAGCACCCTAGAAGAAGGAAGGCATTTCAGGGCAGGGACACAGAAGCACTGGAGCGGGGCTAGCAAGTCAGCTTGGACGAGCTAGGCCACGCTGGGCTCTGCGGGGCTGGGCAAGGATGTCCCGGCCACATTGAGCTGTCACGGGCCAGGCAGGGCTGACTCCAAAGTCCCCCTGAGCCATGACTGCCCTTCACTAGCTGGTCTTCTTCCCCATCCGTGAGCGTTCAAGGATGGGCCTGCTGGGCACCTCTGAATCCCTGGGACCCAGCACGGGGTCTGCACATGGGATGCTCAGGAAATGTCCTGCTGAGGCACTGGCAAGCTGGGAAGGTGGACCTGCTGGTGGAGGGAGCTGGAAATGAGGCTGGGCCATTTTTTATGAGTTACAGCGGCTCAGTACCGTATCCAGAACATCTGTTCAGGTGTTAGGAGAGCTGGGCTCCAGCCCTAACTCTGTCACAGACAAAGAGGTCACTTCCCCTAATTGGGCCTGTCCTCTCGTATGTGAATTGAGGGCATTGAACCAGCTGTTATCTGGGGGCTCATGCAGCTCCAGCAATGTGGGCATCTCTGCCCTCATCTGATGCTGACCTCTCCCTGGCAGCCTGTGGGCCAAGTCCTCCCCTCACCACTAGGGGGAGCTCTACACACGCCCCAGGCAAGCACCTCACCTCAAACCCACTAAGACCGATATGTGAAAAGCTTGGCAAGTGGGCACTCATTCACAGACGGAAGGCTTGCGCCTTCTCAGACACAGAAGCCTGGGTGCCCGGCCACCAGGCACACTGCCAGGTGGCCTTGCACGCAAGAGTTGTGGCATGGAAGCTTTATGTTGAAGGATGTCTAAGCCCCACCCCCTTCCTCATTGTTCACACCTGGTCCCAGAGAAGGGACCATGACCTGCTCCAGGCAACATTCCCATGAATACTCTTTGGCATTCCTAGTCTGCCTAATTTGGGGGGAAGAAAAAGATTCACCAGTAGGATTCAAGTCTTTTAATTTGGGAATGACCAGCTTCCTCCTATACCCTCCCTTTCGTCCATAACACCCCCTCCCTGGCCGAGCACCATCAGAAGTCAGATCTTAGAACACCAGGCCCCACAGACAAATCCCCGGTGACTTCTCAGGCCTGGCTCCATCGCTGTAGGCTGGGGTGGTGGATAGTAGGCTGGGGAGCTAGTGAATCCAAAGGAGACGTGTCTGGGCTCTGCTGTTCCCCTTTTGTGGCTGGGCTCAGGAGCCAGGTAGCCCCAGTATCACTACTGGTCCCCTGTGAAGATGGAGCCAGGTGGGGTAGGGCATGGCAGGGTGGGGTAGCTGGGGCAGGGGGTGGAGGGGACATCTCCTCTTCCCAGAGCACAGGCACTCACCCTGGGTGGCCCTGGACGCCAACTCAGTCCGGTAGATCTTGAAGGCATCGTAGGCAAAGACGGAAACCAGGATGATGCCAAAAACCTGTGGGCGTAGGAGCAGGGATGGCACAACAAAGGTCATCGGGCCGTTGATACTGGGGAGAGGGAGGTGGGTGATATGGGGCAAGGTGTGAGGCAGGCCCTGGGCACTGGGTTGAGCTTGGGGTGGAGAGAGGCACACAAAGTGTGCAACCACCAGCCAAAGGTCCTTGGGGAGCCAGAGAGCTCTGTGGGGCTGAACTCACAAAAGCAGCAATGGCAGCTCCATCCCGGGAGGTCACAGCCGCAAAGGAGACCACCAGGAAGATGATGCTGGCGCTGACACAGCGGAGGAAGTCCTGGGGGTTAGGGGGGCAGGGTCAAAGGGAAGCAGAGGGCAGGGGGCATCGCCCTGAGGTTTTCCAGGCTAGTCAGCAGCTTGACCCTCAGGCACTGTGAATCCCTACACGGAGATACCCTTGGACACAACATAAAGTGCTTGAGAGACAAAGAGAGAGAGAGAGTTCACACAGCTCCCCAGGGGAGGGATGAAGATAAATGCGGAGCAACCAGGACCAGGACCAGAAGCCAGGGGCCTGGGCTGGGGCTGGATCTGGACAAGGGAGCAGATCTGAGGGATGTGGGTCAAAGGAGTGTTTGAGTGTTGGGTATGGGAGCCGGACTCCTTGTTAAACCAGGAAAAGGAGAGAGGCTGGGAGAGGAAAGGAAAATTCAACGTGCAGAGAAGAAAGGGACCAAAACGGGGTGGGGGAGGCAGGGTCCCTCACCAGACAGGGCCAGTTCAGCCGATCGAAGCGCTGGTAGTACTGGGTGGCGTAGAGGAAGAGGAAGGCTAGCGTGATGAAGAACTCCAGTAGCGCAGCAGCCATGTAGGCGGAGATGGAGGCCGTGAAACAGATGAAGATGATGAAGGTCAGGGCCTGCGGGACCGAGGGTGGGAAGCTTGCCAGGAAGGGGACACAGGCACAGCCAGGCCTCTGCCCTCTCCCTCCCCGGAGCTCCCCCAGCCGGCCCCACCACCTGTCCTTGGAGGTCTCTCCATCCCTGGAGCCACATCCAGGGCCTTTGCCTACTGAGGCCCGACTCTGGCCCCCCACCTCTGCCCATCCATGCTCCCCCTGCCTCGGGATCCCAGCAGCCCCAGCAGTTTGGCCAAGCTGCACGGCTCCAGGGGCCGCCATTCTGTGAAATCCACAAGATAGTGTGTCCCCCTTTAGCCCCAAGTACAATGGGAACGCCGGCCCCTGGAGTGGCACCCACATCAGCCTGTGCCCCCAGGAGGCACCCCACGCCCCATAACGCTTCTCCCACTCCTGGATGCCTAAAACTCTTCTGACGAGGACCAGAGCCTCTGGTTCCATGCCAAGAGGCAAGGTTTAGAAGGCAGAGGCTCCAGGGTGGACTCTGGGGTCCCCTCAGCTCTGGCCATGTAGGATGGCGCATATGCAGAAGACTTAAGTTTACTAGTAGGTCTTGCTAAGTGACTAAGGGAAGCTCCTTTCCTGAGGACAGATATTCATGGGGAGCAGGCAGCAGATAAAGCGGGGCTGCAGGAAGTCTGCCCTTTTTGGTAGTTGAACTTCTCGGATCTGCCAAGAAGTGGCCATCTTAAAGCCCGGGGAAAGACCAGCTGGTGTTACCGCTGTCCCATCCCTGTGCCTCACACCCCCTCGATGTCCCAGAGAGCTGTCCTCTGTTTAACTTCAATCCTTCCTGCAGCAACTGAAACCTGCTGTGACTGCCTCCAGATGGGAGATGAGGGGCTGGGTGGGGGGGTGGGGCAGCTGGGGCCGGAGGGGTGTCCTGAGAGCCTGGGGAGGGAGGCTGCTGAGGGCTGAGCCCTGGTAGGGGGCCCGGGCTGGGAGATGGAGGCTGCAGGTCAGGGAGGCAGCTGTTACCAGCTCAGTTTCCAGCAGGATGCCTTTGAGGGACGAGAGGAACGTCTTGTCCACGGTGAAGCCCTGGAGCCCCGCAGCTGCCCCCTCTTCAGGGGGTCGGTCCCGGCGATTCCAAGCACTGAGCATCTCCACGGGGCCCACCGGGCACAGCCCCCACTGCCACCAGCCAGGAAGGAAAATGGAAAACTGACAGGATGGGGAAGCAGAGAGGAGCAGAAAGGCACTGCGAGAAACCTGAACGTGAAGCGGGCAGGGCTGCTGTGGGACCCCGGGGAAGGCGGCTGCCCAGAAGGGCCTGCACCCAGCTGCCCAGAGTGCTCGGCTGGTGCGTGCACTGCCCCCCAGGCAGCACATGGGAGGGGAGGCGCGGGCAAGGGGGGCGTGGTCAACCCTCCCCTTACTTGGAGCCCAACCCCGCCTCCCGCAGAGGGGAGAAGCGCGGGGAGGAGGAGGTCCGCGGAGAAACCAGGATGAGCTGGGAGGTGAGCTGAGAAATGGGCCGGCCTAGGAGCCCCCAAGGACCCAAGCCTGAGGAAGTTTGTGGCCCTCTTCCCTAACCTTAACCCTCTTCCTCACCATCCTTTCTCCCTTTTCCTTTTAGGGAGGGTGGGAGCTGGAGCCCAGTCCAGGCAACACCCCCCAGAACCAAGCAGTAGCAGCCAGAACTGAGGACAAAGGCAGATTGTTGGGGGACAAGGGGGCGCTGTGTGCCTGCTGCAGTACCTCAATGGGCCTCTGTCTCTCCAGCATGCCAGGAGGGCGGCCTGACCCGCCCCCCCCCCCCCCCCCCCAGTGTTTAGGGCTGAGCCAGGGAGCCAGGGAAGGGGAGGGATGGGGGGCCACAGCGGAAACTCTGGACGGCAGAGGGAGAAGGCAGTAGGTGAGGGCTGACAGTGGGGAGGAAGAGGAACCAGGCTGGGGACCACAAGATGCTCGGGCACCAGGGATGCCAAAGACAAATTAGGCCACTTTATTTATTTATTTATTTATTTATTTATTTATTTATTTATCTATCTTTTAACATCTTTATTGGAGTATAATTGCTTTACAATGGTGTGTTAGTTTCTGCTTTATAAAAAGTGAATCAGTTATACATATGTCCCCATATCTCTTCCCTCTTGCGTCTCCCTCCCTCCCACCCTCCCTATCCCACCCCTCTAGGTGGTCACAAACCACCGAGCTGATCTCCCTGTGCTATGGGGCTGCTTCCCACTAGCTAGCTATTTTACATTTAGTAGTGTATATATGTCCATGCCACTCTCTCACTTTGTCACAGCTTACCCTTCCCCCTCCCCATATCCTCAAGTCCATGCTCTAGTAGGTGTGTGTCTTTATTCCCGTCTTACAGGCCACTTACAGCCAGTTCAAGTCTCTGTCCAACCTGCAGGGGCGGCAAGCGTCAGGTCCTGGGGGTAAGGCTGGCTGGCAAACAGGGGACCGGCCAGGAGCAGCGAGGGCCCAGGGTGGAAATGCCAGGACTGTCGGGGGCTTGGCTTCTTATTCGAGCTCTGGTACCCACGTGTCAGGTGGCTTTGAACAAGTCACCCCCTCTTCCCTGGGATTTATTTCCCCCAACTGTCAGTGAGGGTCGAGCATAGAAGAGTGACTTTCCAACTGGTCCCAGAGCCCTAAGGGAGGCGGGGCAGGTGAGCAGCTCCACCAGAGCCTCCACCAGACCAGCCCTGGTTCCATCTGATACATACACTGGGCTCTAGCCTGAGGTTCCTTTTTGTAATTGTTATTATTTTTTAGGGTTTTTTAAAATTTTAAAGTAAAAACTGCTCTTATATCCAAGTATAAGAAAATATCAAGTGAAGGCTGACAGTCTGTCTCCCCGTCCCCCTCCCCAGAGGAAGCCACCATCTGCCATATCCTGCCCGTCCTCCAGACACAGGCTGTGCCTGTATTATAAGCACACATAAGAGTGTGTGGTAAGGCTTAGTGACTTATTCTAAAAGGATTTCATGTCCCTAAAAGGCATGAAAAGTAGGTGCTCCAAAGGTCTGGGACCCCAGAAGCCCAGAGGGAAACAGCCCCTAGGTTGTAAAACCATCCTCCAAACAGACAGGACTTCGCAAAGTGGGGCTCAGCTAGTGCGGCATTTCCCGGAGTGGCATTCCCCAATAAACACGCTGCAGCAGGAGGGGTCTGTCGCCAAATGAGTCTGGGAAGCGCTGAGTTTAATGATCTCTTCTCTGTGGACTTCTTGCCATGAAGGTGCTGGGCACACTGGGAACCTCCAAGGAGTGGGGCTTGCAGCAGTTTTTCCCCCACTTACTTGACGTCATCATTTTCTTTTTTTTCTGAGGAACAGCTTGTGGGACAAGAGTTGCAAAGAACACGCTTTTGGGGAAGGACAGCAGAGTGGTTATCGGGGGTTCACGACCTCCCAACCAGGGGTCTAGATCCCAGCCGAGTCAGCCATCTGGTACCCAGCCTCCCCAAAGGGGCTCCCACCTCTTTAGATTTCGCCCAGAACCCAGCCAGCCTTCTGAGACCACTTCAAAGCAAAGTGACCTACAGTCTCCACCCTGGATCTAGTCTCAATCAAAGCTGACCCTTCCCTACCCACTGACCTACTCCATCCATCCTCAAAGCCAAGGCTAAGCCAGAACTAGGCTTACAGAGAGTGGGAACACAGACACCCCGTGAGGACTCAAGACTGCAAGAGAAATATGTTTGGGATCCCTAAGGCACTAATTTTTAATATTTGTATTAATTGTCCCAATTTCAGGGCTTCCTAATATTTTATTTTACATCATGACACAAATACAGGATTATGTGTGTGGCACACAGCAAAAGAGTAAGACTGCTCGTGATCAGAGATAACCAGCCTGGCGCTCCAACCACCCAGCTGCGCCCCCCAGAGCAGAGGGAGGGTATAATTATAACCCATTCGTGGCTCAGGGCAGTAGCATTTGGTATCGGGCTTCTTCGTGCCTGTATTGTACATTATTCTCTGATATTTTAGTTAGAAAAACACAGCCATTGTAGGGGAAGAAGAAGGAGAAGAAGCAAGAGGAGGCGGGGAAGAAGTAGAGGAAGAAGAAGAAAGGAAGAAACCAACATTTTCTGTACTAAGTACAGATTTTTCATATCTTATTTCCTATGATCTGCGCCATTAGCCTATGGACTATTATTTCATTTTACAGATGAAAAAAACTAAGCTTTGAACACTTGAGTGATTGGCCCAAGGTCACCCAAGAAGAGTCAGAGCTAGGCCTTGTCTAACACCCAACTTGATAACCTCCCTGAGGTAAAAGGGGGCAGGTAGCCTGGAATTGTCTGGAACCCCCCTGGTCTCTCGCACACACGCTGACCAGCACATGAGCAGGTGTTCGGGAGGGGACAGGGGCCAGCATTCGTATCTCCAGGGGGCGATGGACCGGCTGTTGAGGGGTCCGTCTTCACTGGCCTTGCAGGATTCCGGGTGGTGGGCAAGGCTGGTGGTCTCTGGGGGAGGCATGAGCACAGTGTTGCACTTCAGCCACTCCTCAGTGGGGTTCTGTCCTTTGCTGGGGCAGCAGCTGGGCCAGTGGGTACAGCCCTTCTGGGGCCGCAAATGGAGGGTGTGGGTTCCCAAGACCATTGCCAAAAATGCAACCACCTGTAGGAAAAGGCCAGTGAGAAAACTGCTTCCACTTAGTCCGGGTGCCCCCTCCCCCAGCTGTTCCCTGAGCTCCTGGATTCATGCCGCATCTGGTCCCCAGCCCCAAACCTGAGAGCTTCCTCCACCCTAGCCACATCTCTGCTCCTGCCCTGCTCAGCACGTCCCAGCCAGGCCCCTGCGCACTCACTTGGTACATGCCGGATGCTGCTCCCCCAGCCTGCGCACCGCGCTGGCTGACAGCAGGGCCTTGTGGAAGCAGGTTGACTGGAGCAGTTTAGGAGTCCTGGTTTTATCTGCAGCAAACCTGTTTTGTTTATTCAAATTTTTTTCCACTACCTTTTGGAGTGTGTGACCTGAGATTAAAAAACAAAACAAGGGCTTCCCTGGTGGCGCAGTGGTTGAGAGTCCGCCTGCTAATGCAGGGTACACGGGTTCGTGCCCTGGTCCAGGAAGATCCCACATGCCGCGGAGCGGCTGGGCCCATGAGCCACGGCCGCTGATCCTGTGCTCCGCAACGGGAGAGGCCACAACAGTGAGAGGCCCGCGTACCGCAAAAAAAAAAAAAAAAAACTGAAACCCCAAAAAACTTGCAAGTGTTTTCAAAAGCTGATTTAAATGCTAGACTCACTGAAGTTGTGATTAACATCATTGTAAGCCCGATAACCTATTGGGTAAACTTTGTTCTTTATACTTTTCCAGGCATGGGTCAAAGCAATAGTATCCTGCTATTCTATGCCTTTGAGAACAGGCATTATAGGAATTTCCCTGGTTCGCTTGTTACCCAAAATTAGGGAACACCATCCTGGTCTCTCTCCAAGAGGCCTCATTTCTATGATCCCTGCTGCTCCCACCCATGGTCTTGTCTCTTCTCTTCCCTTTCTTCTCAGATGTCCTCCTGATCACCGACCTTAGTGCAGAGTCCAGCCTTAGGTCTGGCACGTGGACCCCAGGGTGGCTTTTGGTGTTCCCGAGCAACCCCCAACCGCAGAAAAGGCTTTGAGGGGGCCTTCCAGAAGAGCTGGATCCCTTGGGTCTCTCCCAGACCAATCAGAACCTCAGAGGCTGACACGGGCCCGGACCTCTTGATCTTGGCCCCTATCCAGGACAGCGTGCTTGAAAGAGCTGGAAGTGATCCAAGCTACTTGTTTCACTTGTTGATGCCGCAAAGGACCCACGTGGGTTACGTGGGACATTCCCTTCAGGAGAGGTCTTTGGGGTGTCCCCTGCCTCTGTACCAGGACCTCCTCTAACGAAACCCCTGAAGGGCAGTCTCCCCTGCCTGACCAGGCCTAACGCAGAACTTGCGCTCTGAGCCACATGTCCCCACTCACCTCTTCCCATTTGCTCAGTCTCCACCCTTATCTCAGGAGCAGCTGTGGGTCTCCTCAGGATGACTCCCTGCCATAAGAAGCATTTTCCAGAGGGTTCTCCTGTTGGGATGACTAAGAATCCCTGAGTCATTTCAGCTTCCAGGGAATCACTAGGGGTGTGGAGAGATGGGGGTGGCAATGGGGAGAATGTAGAGGCAGAAGCAAAGTTCACCCAGTACCCAGTATCACGGGTGCTTCCCCGTGTGTCCTCACCTGCCTGGGCCTGACCTGGCAGCCACGGGGGACCAGCTGAGAGTCCCACCCCCGAGCCTCTGGGAAGAAATCAGCCCCTAGCAGGAAAGAGCAGGGAGGATGTGACAGGAAGCACTCCACCTCGGCCAAGAAAGCTTGCAAAAGGCTACGATGGCTGTCCTGCCCTTCCTCAGAAAGTCACCCGAGTTCTCACCCTTCCCCTGCCTCTGATCAGCTCTTCGCCTAGGGGCCTCTCTTCTCTTGTAGAAATATGCATGTTTGCTGCAGCTTGGGCGGTGGGCTGGGGGTAACCTGGGTGGCCACGAAAGTGCCAACCAGCCTAGCAGCCCCTGCAACAGTGCTGAAACCAGCACTCCGCAGGGCCTACTGAAGCTCATCTGCACTCACCTGAGGTGAGGCAGGGGCACTGGTGGTTAAAATGCTGAAATATTACTTCTGTCCCGGCTGGTAAATAGATACTGTCCTCAGGACTGGAGCACGTCCGCACTACAACCTCCCTGTGATCCTGCAACTAAAGGGAGACCACCTGGCCCAGACGGAGGCCTCCAGAACAGGCTCCCGTGTCCTGATGGGGATGCCATGATGGTACCAGTTGCTAATTATTTGTAGTATCATCTTTACTTACATGGTGCCTGGAGCCTGCCTTCAAAGAGAATCCAGTCTGGCCTGGGAGACACGCAGAGAATCAGAGTGAGCAGGACAAAAAGCCTAGCAACTCCCTCCCCCAGCCCAGGCCTGGTGCCTCCCCCATGGTGGGCCTTTGGCTTACTCAACTCTGTCCTACAGTCATGGCTGCCCTGTTCATTCGCCCATTTGCCAAATATTTATTGAGCACTTATTATATGCCAGGCACCATTCTAAATGCTAGGAATGCAGAGGAGGACAAGCCAGATAAGGTCCCTGCCTCAAGAAGCTTACGTTTTAGAAGGAGACAGATGGTAAATAAAGAAACAAGATAATCTCTGATAATAATAAGTGCTATGAAGAAAATGAAACAGTGTTAAGAAATAGAGAATTACTGGGAGGTGGGGGGTGGGTGGAGGGAGGGGCAACTTAACTTTAAAAAGCCAGGGAAGGCAACTTCCCTGGTGGTCCAGCAGTTAAGACTTCGCCTTCCAATGCAGGAGGTGCAGGTGATCCCTGGTCAGAGCTAAGATCCCACATGCCTCGCAGCCAAAAAACCAAAACATAAAACAGAAGCAATATTGTAACAAATTCAATAAAGACTTTAAAAGTGGTCCACATCAAAAAAAATCTTAAAAAAAAAAAAAAAAAGCCAGGGAAGGCCTTTCTGAAGATGTGGAATTTGACAAGATGATGGAAAGGGTCTGGAAAGAGTGGTCCAGGCAGAGGGAACAGGACATGCAGAGTCCTAGAGGTGAAAGAGCTTGACATGTTTCAGAAACAGAACGGACAGTGTGGGTAGAAAACAAAGGTTAAGGGAAAGGGTGGGATGAAATGAGGTGAAGAGGTGGGCAGGGACCAGCTCACATAGGATCTTAAAGCCTGTGGCAGAACATTTGTTTTTTAATTTATATATATTTTTTATTTTTGGCTGCGTTGGGTCTTTGTTGCTGCGTGCGGGCTTTCTCTGGTTGCAGCGAGCAGGGGCTACTTTTTGTTGAGGTGCATGGGCTTCTCATTGCAGTGGCTTCTCTTGTTGCGGAGCACAGGCTCCAGGCGCACAGGCTTCAGTAATTGTGGCGCATGGGCTCAGTAGTTGTGGCACACGGGCTTAGTTGCTCTGTGGCATGTGAGATCTTCCTGGACCAGGGCTCGAACCCACTGGCAGGCAGATTCTTAACCACTGCGCCACCAGGGAAGTCCGGAGCATTTGGATTTTATGCCAAATTCAGTGGGAAGGTATCAACTGTATTCAAGCATAATCTACATGATGTGGGTTTCTTGAAGGCAAGTTCCGTGTCCTTGACATTCTGCTGCCCCACAGAACTGACATCAGATAACAATAGTAACAGTTGCTTTGAGCCAACATTTACACATCATGGACCAGGCACTGTTCTCAGACTTCTTTTTTTTTGTTTTAATGAATGAATCTTTTTTAAAAAAATAAATTTATTTTTTTATTTATTTTGGCTGCATTGGGTCTTCGCTGCTGCACGTGGGCTTCTACTCTTTGTTGCTGTGTGCAGGCTTCCCATTGCGGTGGCTTCTCTTGCGGAGCACGGGCTCTAAGCGCACGGGCTTCAGTAGTTGTGGCGCACGGGCTTAGTTGCTCCGCAGCATGTGGGATCTTCCCCAACCAGGGCTCGAATCCGTGTCCCCTGCACTGGCAGGCTGATTCCTAACCACTGCGCCACCAGGGAATTCCAGTTCTCAGGATTCTCTTAATCCTCAGTTCCATTATTAACCCATTTGACAGACAAGGAACCAGAGGCTCCCAGAGGTCACATAGCTTGCCAAGGTTGGAGTTGGCTAGTGTTGGAGCCAGGATTAGAATGCAGCCAATCTGGATGCGGTGGGGTCCAAAGAGAGGAGAACTGGAAGAATCCATGAGCACCCGAGAAGTTCTGAGTAGAACAGGTCACGGGGTGGGATGAGGAGGACATCAGCCGATTGGCCCTGCTGGGAAAGGACAAGAGTGGGAGAGAAGACTGGGACCCAGAAAGCCTGATGGAGGGGTTCCTGCCTTTCTACCCCCTGAGTAGTGGCAAACGCAAGCCCCGAAGCTGAGGGCCCCCCTGCCTGAGGCTGCCGCCCACCCAGGGTCTCAGCCTACCACCCAGCCTGGGTTTTCTCCAACCTAACCTGGAGCCCAGAACTCTCCCTGACCAAGTTAGAATCACCTGAAACCTCAGTTTGCGAAGGAGAGGGCAGAGATGAGGCATAAGGACAGGAAGAAGGCTCCTCCTGCTCTCAACAAAGAAGCACTTTGAACTTTCATGAAGGTACAAGCTGGGGGTGCAGGGGGAGTTGTGGGGAGCCAAGGTGAAGAGGAAAGGCCATTGTGCTACGCACTTTACATATATTTACTCCTCACCAAAGCAACTGTTCCAGATGAGGAGCTGAACTTCAGAGATGTTCCAGAACTTGACCAAGGTCACAGAGCTGACAAACCAGGATTCACTCCCGAGCCTGACCGGCTCCATTTCCTGCCTGGGCACTCCAGAAGCACAGACTTGTGTTCCTGCAGGTGTGCACTCTAACCCCCTCACCTAGCTCCAGGCACTAGCTAGGCGCTCAGCTACAATGAGGGCAGTGAGCCTCACTGCCCTCCTCCCAAACCACCATTTTGCCGGGTCCCAGCACTTCCTTCCTGCTTAGTCTTTTCCGGCCTCCATCTGTTTCCCCTGTGCCAATCAGGGCACTCATCTTTGGAACAGGGTTTCCTGCCCACCTCCATCTTGAGCCCCAATTTGCCTTGGCAGTTCCCTGGGCAGAGATCATATACCAAGTCACTCCCCAGAAGCTGAATATCTGTGTTCCAGGCAGCCAGGCCCCCCCCAGGGCTGCGGTCTGGGAGAAGTTGGACCAGGCTGGAACTGGAATGGGGGAGCTCTCCCTTGAGATGCATCTGGAAATGTTAAAGTTCTTCTCCCATCCTAAAGGAGTCTGAGTTTGTTCACAGGTGCCCAAGCAACAGGGAGAGGAAGGAGCTGGGTCAGGTGCTTCCCCCTCCCCTGCTGACAAATGCCTGGAAGAGTGGGCCTGTGGAATGCGAAGGTGGAGGGGGATGGGAGGGGAGAGGGGAGCCTCTCTGTATCCCCGGCCTCGGGTTCACAAAGGGCCTTAAATTAGACTTCTGATGTTATCTCCAAATGACGCTCTACATACATAGAGCCATTGTCTATCTGTTTGAAGTGTTAATGTGTTAAATGTAAATATTGAAAACATGCTACAGTTTTTCAATCCAGTTTGGCATCTAACTTTTTAAATTCCAGGAACCTCAAAAACGGAAGAAGGAAGGCTTCTCTGGAGCCTCTGAGAGGCCTCGATGTGTTCTTTCCCAAAGGAAGAACGCGGGGTGGGCGGGGAGGGGGCGGGCAACTGGAGGGAGGCAGCGCACGCGAAGGAGCAGTAACAGGGCAGGAGAGGTGTGGGGGACACGAGCCGCGTCCTTCCAGCCGAAGCTTGGGGGCAATCCCAGCTCCTCTGAAAGAGTCCTGCCCTTTTGTGCCCGAAGTCCCCACTTTTGCTCCTCAGGAGCGAGCCAGAGTGAGGGCAGGGGACAGGTCTAGACTGGCAGAGAAGCGTTAAGAGGCGGCACAACCGGCCCGCCCGCGGCTCCGGGACCAGATGCTCGGGCATCACGTTTTCCCGCCAGGGCTAGAATCCGTGTCCAGCCCCAGACCCCTGCGGAGGCCCTGCCAAGGGAGTAGACAGGCTCCGCGGAGGACCCCAGAAAGGCGGAAGGAGCGTGCTCCCTCCCAAGGGAAAGACAGATGTGGGGCTAATGAAAGGGATGCAGAGAGGCGCGGGGCCGGCGGGGGAGATCGGGGGCGTGACGGGGAGAGGAAAGCTCCCGGGAGGGAGCGAACCAGACCACCTGGAGGTTCGCCGCGACGCCGGGCTGCAGCCGACGGGGAAGAGGAGCCGGGAGGGGGCGTGCAATTTGGCCCGAGGGTCCTGAGCTGAAACTCAACACCCGCCTTTGGAGGGATCGTCCTTCTTTCTCCTCCGCCCCTTCCCTTCCCCTCCCTTTTCCCCTCCCTCCTTTCTCTTAATCCCCGGGACTGAGCCCCGCGCCGGAGCGGAGAGGGCCCGAGGGGAGGAGAAAGGAGGTGCACAGAAAGGGCGCCGGGAGCCCGGGAAGGGGAGGGGAGGGGAGCCGCGAGCGGGGGGTGAGCCTGAAGGCCGCGCGCGACCCCCGGAGCCTTCCCAGCGCTCTCAGTGTCCGCCCCCCCAACCCCACCTCCAGGCGAGTCCTCAGGACCCTGGCCTCTGCTCCTCCTTCGCCTTCTCTTTGCTCCTTCTTTTGCTTTGTGGCCTTTCTCTCGGTTGCCAGAGACACCCGGGCTGCCCCGAGCCCTGGGGCGCGCGGAGAGGGCCCGCCAAGGGTGCGTGTAAGCGGGGCGGCGGGGCCAGCGCCGAGGGCCGGGGGCCGAGGGTGGGAGCGGGAGCGCCGGCGTCGAGGGCTGGAGGGGGGCGTGTGGGGAACGCCGTCCCGCCCCTTCGAGCCGGGCCCGCGTGCGGGTAGCGAGGCGTCGTCGCGGCGCCCCCAGACCCCCAGGCGCGCTGCGAGCTAGTGTGCGTGTTTGGGAACCCGCTTCCTCGCCGGGGCTGCGAGAGTCTGGGCAGAAGGCAACCACTCGGGCCGCCCAGCCCAGCCGCCGCGCTCTCCGAGACATTCGGCGCCAGCCTGGCCTCGGTTCGCCAAGTCGGGCGAGTTTGAAGGGGGACGAACGTCTCAGTTTTCACTGCCCCCCCACCCCTCCCTCGCAGCGGGGCTGCCGCAGAGCCCCCGACGCCCCTCAGCCTCGGGAGCACCGCTCTCCGGCGCGGCAGCCGGGTGGGGAGGCTTGGCCCCTAAACTCGCTCGTCCAGCCCGACCGCCCCGGCGGCTTCTCCCTGCCCTCGGGGCCGTCCTGAGCGGCCCGGAGAGGCGTCGAGCGCAGCCCCAGCTCCCGCCTCCTCGCCCGCCCTGGCACTGGAAGGAAGCTTTGGGCCTGTGCGGATCCGGGGTGCCCCCTCGGCCTAGGACAGGCAGCTCCGGGGGCCTGGTCCACCCGGCAGCCCCCGGGAGGCCGCGGGGACGGGGCAGAGCGCGCGCCCTTGGATGAGGTCCCGCAGCGACGCCCCGGCCCGCCCCGCTCCTCCTCCTGCCCGGCCAAGCTGCCTCCCATTTGGGGAGTTTCGTGGGTTTTCTTTCTCCTCCTCCAACCTCTGCGGAGGCCACGACTCAGGCGCCGCAGCAGGGGGCCGCCTCCATGGTGCGGGGCAGCCGCTGCTGAAGTCAGCGAAACCGAGCCTGGCCTGGAGCTGGCCGCGCGGAAGGCCAAGGCCATGGCCATAGCCACGTCGGTGAGTCCACCAGAGAGAGGAGGCTGCCGGGCAGAGACGTCCACAGCCTGTCCTGCACTGCTGTCACTTTTATTTCTGCCTTCTCTTTGTCTCGCTCCTTGGTCCCTTGCTTCTTTGGGAGACTGTGTCCCCCTTCTGGCACTTTTGTTTCCCTTTCCCCCTCTCACTCCTCATCCCTAGCTCCTACTGGATCTGGCCTCCCCCTTCTCTCCTCCCGCTCCCCATTCTCCCCTTTTTCTTTCCAGAGGCTGCTCCTGGAAGGAGGGGAGGGGGCAAGCCTGAGTCCTATCTGCTCCTTTATGGGCGGGAACAGATGGCCACTGGAGGTTGGCAGGGGCTTGTGATTGGGAGGCTAGTAAAAGGTTGGGAGGGGGCTGAAAGAACGGAGGTGGCTTCAAGGAAATAGGAGAGGGCAAAGGGCCCAAGGGGGCCCTTCTCTAGAGGAGGGACGGCAGAAAGGTGGGAAATAAAGTAAAAGAGGGAGATCGGGCAGGGAGCAAGAGAAAATAGAGGGAGGAGGGGAGGTGATGTCAGCCAGCCTCTGGCCACTTTCCTAGGACTGGGGACAAAGGGAGGAGACAGCTGGCATGATGGGCCAGTGGGAGGAGGCCTCCCAGTGAGCGTGTAGCCCACGGCCACCCCCCTTTAAGACAGCCACTCCCTCACAAGTCAGCTGGGCCCCTGAGGAGGGGGTAGAGCTGGGGTGGCCACACCCATCATCAATCAGTCTATCAGGGACTCTGGCCTGGGTTCCTGCAATTGCAAGGCCCAGAGGTTTGGTCCCATTGGACAGAATTCAAACCTGACACAGGGAGGAACTCTTCACAGCCCCGCCCCTGCTTTCTGTCCTCTACTGCTTGTAGTCTGAATCTAAGCAACTCTGTCCCCTTTCCAGCCTTCCCTAGGCCTTAGGATTCCCAGGGAAAGCGAGGCTGCCACCTGCTTTCTGGCTCCCTCTGAATGGGCATCCTGCGAAGGAGGATTGTGAGGCTGGGAAGAGAAGCATGGCTTCTGACATCCTCCCACACCCCCCGAGGATGAGTTAGATTTTCATTCCTTCTCAGACCAAACTCCTCTTAGCTCCTCAATCTGTATGATGGTGAGCAGACCCTAGTTCGGAGCCAGAAGAGGGGGAGGTCCTGAACATAGTGGGGTACTGTGACATAAAGTTGCCTTCTCAGGAGCCAGCTGGTCAGCTGGTCAACTTTGTAGTCCCAGGAGGTAGATCTTTCTTTTGCCTGGGGGAGCGAGGCGTGTTGGTATTTACGCTTATGAAACTCACAGGATCCTAACAACAGCTAATATTTACTGAGTATTTACTGGCCCTAAGCTGGCCCTGAGCTTTGTCTGGGTTTGTCCTGGTTCTCTGATGCATTATCTCACCCAGTCCTCACAACAACCCTGTGAGGCTGGTACTGTTATTATCTGAAAGTGGATGTTCAGCTGTGGATATGGAATTCTATAAAGGAGGAAACTGAAGCTTGGAGAGGTTAAACAAACTGCCCAAAGTCACCCAGCTCGAAAGGGGCAGAGCCAGGACTCAAGCTCAGGTCGGTCTGCCTCAGAAACCGTGCTTTTTAACCCCCTGGCTAGATCCAAAACGCCAATTTCTAATTTACAGTTAGAAAGAAAAAGGCCAGGCTCACCAGGAATTTGTGTCATCTGGCTAGCGTATTGGCTTTTTGTGGGACAACCTCCTTTAGAAGCCAAAATATAATCAGAAGAGGGTTTGATCATTTGGAATCAGGCAAGAGAAGTCAGCTTATTGTTAAAATCACCCAGCCATAAAGGGCTGGACAACCTCTCCACCTGAGGGAAACACTGGCCACGAGGAACATGCACTCATGCTGGCTGAGCCAGACACCCTTCCCCCAGGGCCTGGTGGCCAAATGCAGCCTGCCAGAGATCTTGAGCTTGAGATGTTTCACTGAGTTAGCCCACGTGGATTACCTGTTCAGTAATGCCTAACTACCTGCTTTCTACCACTGCCTGGGATCCTGCCAGCAGGCTCGGGTCACTTAGGAAACATAGCTGAAGCGGAATATATTTTGACATTGTGAGTGGCTTAAGCTTGATTCTACCAAATAACTTGGTGGAACCAGAGCCCAGTGAAGAGAGACTAGCAAAGGGAACTTGGGCATCATGAAGACTGCCTATAAACTTGAGTCATGTTTGAGCCATGGGTCCTCTTTTTGTTTTGTTTTTTAAGTCTTTTTGTTGTTATCTTTTTATTTTATTTTTTAATTTTTATTATTTAATTCTGTTTTGTTTTGGTTTTTTGCGGTACGCGGTCCTCTCACTGTTGTGGCCTCTCCTGTTGCGGAACACAGGCTCTGGACGCGCAGGCTCAGCGGCCATGGCTCACGGGCACAGCCGCTCCGCGGCATGTGGGATCTTCCCGGACCGGGGCACGAACCCGTGTCCCCTGCATCGGCAGGCGGACTCTCAACCACTGTGCCACCAGGGAAGCCCTATTTAATTCTGTTTTATTTTTGGCCGTCTTGGGTCTTCGTTGCTGCGCACAGGCTTTCTCTAGTTGCGGCGAGCGGGGACTACTTTTGGTTGTGGTAAGCGGGCTTCTTATTACAGTGGCTTCTCTTGTTGCGGAGCGTGGGCTCTAGGCGTGTGGGCTTCAGTAGTTGCAGCACGCAGTAGTTGCGGCCCACGGGCTTAGTTGCTCCGCGTCATGTGGGATCTTCGTGGACCAGGGCTCACACCTGTGTCCCCTGCATTGGCAGATGGATTCTTAACTACTGCGCCACCAGGGAAGTCCCTTTTTTTTTTTTTTTTAATTGAAGCATAGTTGATTTACAATGTTGTGTTACTGTTGTACGGCAAAGTGATTCAGTTATACATATATATGTACATCCTTTTTTATATTCTTTTCCACTATGGTTTATCATAGGATATTGAATATAATTCTCTGTGGTATACCGTAGGACCCTGTTGTTTATCCCTTCTATATATAATAGCTCACATCTGCTAACCCCAACCTCCCACTCCATCCCTCCCCCAGTCCCCTCCCGCTTGGCAACCACCAGTATGTTCTCTATGTCCATGAATCTGTTTCTGTTTCATAGATAGGTTCATTTGTACCATACTTTAGATTCCACATACAAGTGATATCATATGGTGTTTGTCTTTCTCTTTCTGACTTACTTCACTTAGTATGATAATCTCTAGTTGCATCCGTGTTGGTGTAAATGGCATTATTTCATTCTTTTTTATGGGTGAGTAATATTCCATTGTATATATGTACCACATCTTCTTTATCCATTCATCTGTCAACGGACATTTATGTTGTTTCCATGTCTTGGCTGTCGTGAATAGTGCTGCTGTGAACTTAGGGGTGTGTGTTTTTTTCTGAATTATAGTTTTGTCCGGATATATGTCATGGGCCCTCTTGACTTAACTACTGTTACTTATATAAGAAGAAAAAAGTGGATCCTTTTTTTTGGGGGGGGTGCACTGCACGGCTTGTGGGATCTCAGTTCTGTGACCAGGGATTGAACTTGGGCCATGGCAGTGAAAGCCTGGAATCCTAACCACTAGGCCACCAGGGAACTCCCAAAAAGTAGATCCTTATGGTTGTGAAGAGGCAGCAGAGGAGTGAGTGAGAGGCTCTGGAATCCCACAGCCTAGAGTTCAAATCATGCTGCACCAGCTGTATGTCGTTGGGCAAAGTACCAACCTCTGTTCCAATTTCCTTTCCAAATGGGGATAATGATGGCTCCTCCCTCATCAGGTTGTTGTGAGGATTAAATGAGATGAGATGATTAGTGCAAACACTCGCTCAGTGTCTGGCTATATAATTTGCACTTGATGTCTGTGGCTTACCTGAGCCTGTAGCTCTCAAAGGAAAAAGCTTAGATGTCCCCACCAGACAGGACTGGAAACAGGCTGATAAATGTTTGCTCTTGTTTGGTCCACCAGCCCCCTTGCATACACACACACACACACACACACAAACACACACGAGCGTATACACTTTTCTCCATGATAACCTCAGCCTCTGCTGGTAGAGCCTTACTTGCTCAGACTGAGAATAAAACAATTGCTTTGGTTTCTGTTTTCTTCCTTATTATGTCGAGGCTGTGTCTGGGCTGGGCTTCTCCCACTCCTTCTCAGAATACGGGGTCTCTGCAGCTGCTAATCTAACCTGCTTATAGGGGATGCTGACTGGGAAACAGGGAAGGTAAAGGAGATCCTATGGGAGACCTTTTCAGGACTTCCTCATGTAATTCATTCAACATATGTTCATGGAGGACTGATTCCAGGTTAGGCCTATTGCAGAGGCTAGGAATATAGAAATCCCTTTTCTCACAGGGCTGACAGTACAAGGGAAGAAATTGATTTTTTAAAGTAAATAGACAAATAGTATAAAGTACTGTGAAGGAAACAATGGGTGGAGACAGACACAGAATGGGGTGGGGAGAAGAGTGAGAAGAAGACATTTAAGAAGAACTGAAGGATGAAAAAGGGCCAGTCAAATGAATAGTCAGGGGACAGGTAAAGGGACTGCAAAGGCCCTGAGGTGGGAAAGAGCTTGTCTAGATCAAGGAATAGAGAGGGAGAATGCAAGGGATGAAGCTGGAGACAGGCAGGGCTGAGTCAGGAGGTAAGATTTTTAGCTTGAGGGAAGTGGGGAGCTCTATGTTTTGAGCAGGGGAGGACATGACCTGATATGTGTGTGAAGACCCCTCTCCCTACTCCCACCTCACCCATCAGGCCCAGCTGGCCCGGGCACTGTACGACAACACCGCCGAGTCCCCCCAGGAACTGTCCTTCCGCCGAGGGGACGTTCTACGGGTGCTGCAGAGGGAAGGCGCTGGTGGGCTGGACGGCTGGTGCCTCTGCTCCCTGCACGGCCAGCAGGGCATTGTGCCTGCCAACAGAGTGAAGCTCCTTCCCAATGGCCCGGCGCCCAAGCCTGGCCTCTCCCAGGTGCCGCCAACCCAGCCTGGCTCACCACATCCAGCCCCAGAGCACGGCACTGAGGACCAGGAGGTGAGAGCTGGAGCCCCCCAAAACCCCAAGCCAGGACATTCCCGTCCGCCGGTGCCTGCACGTGGAGGAGGGAGAGCCCTGAGACGGCAGCTCTGCACCGACTCTGCTGTACTAATCCTGGTGGCCAACCCTTTCTGGGCTCTTTCCCCACTGGTACAGGGAGGGGGTTGGAAGATGTCTAAGCTCCTCCCGGGCACACATTATCTGATCCCCTGGTCCCAACACCACCTGACCCACCCGCCTGTGCTGATCCCCCAGGTGTATGTGGTACCACCTCCAGCTCGGCCCTGTCCTACCTCGGGACCTCTGGCTGCACCCTGTCCGCCCTCCCCTGATCCCATCTACAAGGTCCCCAGAGGCAGTGGGACCCAACAGGCTGCCCCTGGAGATGCCCTGGAGGTGAGGGCTAGAGGTTTGTGTGTATGTTGGGCAGGGAACAGACGGCTCTCGGGGATAGGGGTTAGCAGAATGGGGGCCCACTGCTGAGACTGAGAGTAACCAACTGCTTCCTCTCCAGGTCTATGACGTACCCCCCACTGCCCTCCGAGTTCCCTCCAACGGCCCCTATGACTCCCCGGCCTCCTTCTCCCGCCCTCTGGCCTGGGTTGTCCCCCAGTCCCCTGGAGAAGATGAAGCTCCCTATGACGTGCCTCTGGCCCCGAAGCCACAGTCAGACCTGGAGCCAGATCTGGACTGGGAGGGGGGCCGAGAGCCAGGGCCCCCACTCTACGCTGCCCCTTCCAACCTGAAACGAGCATCCGCCCTGCTCAATCTGTACGAAGCACCAGAGGAACTGCTGGCAGACGGGGAAAGCGGGGGCACTGACGAGGGCATCTACGACGTCCCCCTGCTGGGGCCGGAGACACCCCCTTCTCCAGAGCCCCTGGCAGCCTCGGCTTCCAATGACCTGGACGCCCTGGCCCTGCTTCTGGCCAGAAGCCCCCCACCCGCACACAGGCCCCGCTTGCCCTCAGCTGAGAGCCTGTCCCGCCGCCCTCTGCCGGCCCTGCCTGTCCCGGAGGCCCCCAGCCCTTCCCCGGCTCCCTCTCCTGCTCCAGGCCGGAAGGGCAGCATCCAGGACCGGCCTCTGCCCCCACCCCCACCCCGCCTGCCGGGCTACGGGGGCCCCAAGGTCGAGGGGGATCCAGAGATCGGGGAGGTGGAGGACCATCAAGAAGGACACCACAATGAGTACGAGGGCATCCCGATGGCCGAGGAGTATGACTACGTCCACCTGAAGGTGAGCTCGCCTCCAGCCAGCCCCACCAGAAATGGCTCCAGGAGAGCCAGCAAGGAGGCCTGAGGCCCCAGATGCAGACCCCGGCTTCCTCCCTTCCCTTCTTCCTCATCCATGGCCCTGTACCCTATGGCCTGGGCCCCAGTACTTGGCCACATCACTTGTATCGGTGCCACATTCCTCCCCCTAAACCCAGCCTAGGGTCCCTGAGACCTCTGACCTGCCACCAGAGCTCTCCCGGACCTAGAGTCAAGGGGTTGCAGACCTGATGGCAGGAGAGACCTTCGGGAGGACGTGGGAGTGGGGAGGCGCAGGAAGACCATGGAGGCTAGACCCCAGCCTGCTCCCCCACCACTGCACTGAGACCCTCTCCCCCCCTGCAGGGCATGGATAAAGCTCAGGGAGCCAGGCCCCGGGATAAGGCCTCCCCAGGGGATCCTGAACTGCTGGAGAGGGGGCCACCAGAGCAGCAGGTAACCCCATGGGGGTGGTGCTAGAGAAGGGGCGGGGAGGAGCAGGAACTTGGAAGAAGGGCTGTTCTCAACTCGAGCATCAAGGGAAATCGATTTAGGATGGGGGTAAGAGTTCAGTGAAACGGGACAGTTGGAGTAGAGAGGAGTTAGAATTCAGGAAGGAGCTGGAACTTAGAAAAGGATATCAGGGGGCTTCCCTGGTGGCGCAGTGGTTGAGAGTCCGCCTGCCGATGCAGGGGACGTGGGTTCGTGCCCCGGTCCGGGAAGATCCCACATGCCGCGGAGCGGCTGGGCCCGTGAGCCATGGCCGCTGAGCCTGTGCGTCCGGAGCCTGTGCTCTGCCACAGGAGAGGCCACAACAGTGAGAGGCCCGCGTACCACAAAAAAAAAAAAAAAGAAAGAAAGAAAAGGATATCAGGGATTCGGAAAGAGAGGAAAGAATGTGTTGGAGAAGAGTCAGAAAAGCGAGCAGTCAGGGGAGCAGAAGAGTTGCTGGGCCGGGTGACTTCCGAGGCCCCTTCCAACTGTGAATTCCTGGGTTCCTAAGAGACCCGGCTCCTAATCCCAGCTCCACCACTAAGAAGCCGCCAGTTAATCTCTCTGGGCCTCGGGAAAGTGAGATGGTCTCCTCGACCTGATCTAGAATGGTCCTAATCACGATAGCTACCATTTGTCAGTTTGTACCAAGTGCCACACCCTGTGCTCAGCACATCGCGTGCGTCACAGCCATAGTTAGCACTCACATAGTGCTTACAGTGTGCAATTCTCTGTTCTCAGCCCTTTCTGTACATCGTATCAGCTAATCTTCACTGCAGCCTTAGGAGGCAGAGACGAGAGCTGCACTCTCCAGTCTGGTAGCCACCAGCCACATGCGGCTACCAATCCCTCCAAATGTGACCGGTCCAAACTGAAATGTACCGTAAATGAAAAGTGCACACCAGATTTTGCAGACTTAGTATGAAAAACAATCTCAATAATTTTCGTATTGATTACAGTGTCGAAATTACCACATTTTTTTTTTTAATTAATTTTTATTTTTGGCTGTGTTGGGTCTTTGTTGCTGGGCATGGGCTTTCTCTAGTCACGATCAGTGGGGGCTACTCTTTGTTGTGGTGTGCGGGCTTCTCATTGCGGTGGCTTCTCGTTGCGGAGCACGGGCTCTAAGTGTGCGGGTTTCAGTAGTTGTGACACGCAGGCTCAGTCGTTGTGGCACACGGGCTTAGTTGCTCCATGGCATGTGGGATCTTCCCAGACCAGGGCTCGAACCTGTGTCCCCTGCACTGGCAAGAGGTTTCTCAACCAATGCGCCACCAGGGAAGCCCGAAATTACCACATTTTTAATATATGGAGTTAGAAAATATGGACCAATTTCTTTGGATTTTCTTAATGTGGCTACTAGAAGATTTGAAATTACATGGGTGGTTCGCCTTGCGTTTACACTGGACAGTGCAGTCCTAGGCTCCCCATTTTAGAGACAAGGAAACAATGAAGTTCAGAGACTTGTTTTTGAGGTTGTTTGTATCCAGATTTATCTGACATCAATGCTGGGTACCTTCCTGCCACTCGCTATGAGAATCTAAATTGTCTGGGCAGAGGTACGATCTAAAGGAATTGAGCTCAGGGAGAAAAGAAGGAATGAGGAACAAAGGGAGGGAAGGAGAAAGGAAATGAGAACAAAAGCGGCAGTAGTGAGAGCAATCCCACTGACCACTCTTCTCGCCCGCAGGAGGCCCCGTCCCCAGGGGAGCCACTGGTTCTTCCCGCCGGAGATCTACAGCTCCTGCACTTCTACGCCGGGCAGTGCCAGGGCCACTACTCAACACTGCAGGCAGCCGTGGCGGCCCTGATGTCCAGCACCCGGGCCAACCAGCCCCCGCGCCTCTTCGTGCCCCACGGCAAGCAGGTGCTGGTGGCTGCTCACCGCCTGGTGTTTGTTGGGGACACCCTGGGCCGCCTGGCAGCCTCCACCCCTCTGCGAGCACAGGTCGGAGCTGCAGGCACAGCGCTGGGCCAGGCATTGCGGGCCACGGTGCTGGCCGTCAAGGGGGCCGCCCTGGGCTACCCATCCGGCCCTGCGGCCCAAGAGATGGTGCAGTGTGTGGCGGAGCTGGCAGGGCGGGCCCTGCAATTTACCACCCTGCTCACCAGCCTGGCCCGCTGAGCCCCTTGGCCCTGCTCTGCCCTCGCCTGCCTGCCAGAGCCCCCTCAAGGCCTTGGGCAGCTGGAGGGCTCTGTTTTAGGGACTAGGAGAGGTGGAGGCATCTCTCCCCCTTCCCCTCTCTTCCAGTCATCTCAGCCTCTCACGGAGGCGCCTCCTTCCCTACCCCGCAGCTTTTTGTACGAGCCATTTTGTATAAATTATTTATATTTAATATTATTCCCTGCTTTGTCAGGGGCAGGCGCCAGGCCCTCCAGGGCAAGGAGGAACTGGACCTTCCTCCTCCCTCAGCCTGACGCAGAGGTTCTTGGGCACCACGTGGCTGCCTGCCTCTGGGATTTCGGCCCCACAGAGGTTCAGGTAGCTGAAACCTGAATCATTTTCAGATTCTGGGGGAAGGGGCCACCCGGAGCCCCTTTCCTGTCCTGTGTCTTGGCTCTAGAACATCAGTGCCTCACTGTTAGCTGAGAGTGAGGGCAGGACGTTGGCCACCCAGAATGGGAAGGTCTGGGAGAGGCCAGAGGGCTCCTCCCCACAGGAGACAGGAGAGCTGGGCCTTGGGCGCTGGTGCATCTCAATAAACCAGGCTGTCTGGTTCCCTGACTCTGCTTCTTGGGAGCCTGGGGAGTGGGCCTGGCACCCTTGGCCAAAACGATGAGACGCACGGCTGTGGGCAGGCTGCCTTTAGGGTTTTGGGGAAAATTTTGCTGTTTCTTCAACAACTATTCATCTGGCAGGTTCTCTGCTCCCATGTGATGTGCCAGGCGCTGTTCTGAAGGTACATCATGGGGGTGGGCTGGATATAAACGAGTCAGCTAAAAGAAGTAAGTAAAGAAAGAAACCTGCCACAAAGTTGACAGTTGCTGGTAATGGAAATAAACAGGGTGATATGCCAGACCAACTAGGTGAGGAGAGAGGCCATTGGAGACTTTAGACAGAATTGTTGGGGAGGTGAGGTGGTATCTGTGCTGAGACTCAGAGGATGAGAGAACCAAGAAGAGTCTGCGACGCGGCATAGCAGGAAGGCAGGCCCTGATTTGTGACCAAGGCCTCTCCTCCAAGACCAATGTCAAGTGATGTCATTAGAGAGGTGCACATGTGGAGAGGGTGGCCACAAGAGAGCCTTCATGGTGCCATGCTGGAGAGGTCACCCCAGCTGTCCTCAACTCTGGCCAACTGGAGAGCGCTGCTGGCCTGGGCGCCCTCTCCCTTCAGTTAACCCAAGAAGGTCTAGCCCCTTAAACTCCCCTCTCCAGGCTTCCTGACTGTCCTTCTGGACACACCATCTTTTAGAGGAGCTGAGGGGCCAGTGAATTTAATGCGTTGGAAGTCCATAGTCCACGGGGCTTTGGTGAAATTAATGGGCCATGGCTTAGATAGGGGATCACTCCAGCCATTTACCACAAGGGAAGTAGTCCAAGCCACAGATCCATTGCTTCAGTTCTGCTATCCCAAGATGCTACTCTGCCACAGTGACTGGGTTGGAGGCACCCCAAAATTCAATCACACTCTTAGTCCCTTGGCCCCTTTCCCCATGCATTTGCCTCCTCCATTTTGGGTTCTTTGTTCTCATTTCACTCTCAAAAGGAAACTCATTTTCAGATTCTGAGGCCACCAAAATTTACCCCAGGTGTTGAAGACTTGTAACAGGGGCCATCCTCCATCACCTTCCAGAAAGAATTTCAAGAGATCAGCCTGGAATTAGAGTCAGAGGTCTCTGTGCAAGTATCCATGTACCTATATGTCTGCAGGTAAATCCCGTCAGTCCCTCCAAGTCCTGGTTTCATCTTTAATATGAGGATGAACATAATGGTCTCGCAGGCTTATTGTGAGGCCCTAACAAGACAATGCATGTAAACAGCCCAGCACCACAGAAAGTTAAAGGGATGATAATTCCAGGACAGACACAAGGACACAAACAAACCCCCAAGGAATGTTGGCTGTGACAGCACCAAAAGTAAATCCCGAAGAGATGCTCAGATGAGTTGGGGGAGGGAAAGTGGTGTGAGGCTGCTTATTGCATTAGAATAGTTTCCCATATTTAGAAAATTTCTGAACAGAGGAGGCAAATTATGAGTGTGGTTCAGTGGAGACAAGAGGGAATGGATTTCCCGGCTGAGACTGATAGGACATGCCTTTTCAGCCCTTACCTGGAATTAGAGAATAAAGTACCTATTAGATATCAAGTCTCTTAGAGAAGTGTATCTCAAACTTTAATGTACATACACCTAGGGATCTGGTTAAAATGCAGATTATGACTCAAAGGGCTGCAATTCTGCATTTCTAACAAGCTCCCAGGTTACACAGCTGCTGGTAGTCTGTAATTCACACTCTGAGTAGGGGGAGGAGAAGCCTTCTAGGTGTAAAGACCAGCTTAATGCAAGGGACCCGTGGCACTGGAAAACCTGAAAGAACGTCAGTGTGGCTGGAGCGCAGAGAGTTTGGGGAGAGATGTGAGGTGGAGCTGCAGAGAGCACAGGGTCACGTTTGAGATATCTAGAAAATTAGTATTTACCTTGACAGTGAGAAGACATTGAAGGCTGTTAAGTAGGAAAGGGACATGTACAGATACACTTTTTTTTTGGCTACGTGGGGTCTTTGTTGCTGCGCGCAGGCTTTCTCTAGTTGCAGCGAGCGGGGGGTACTCTTCTTTGTGGTGCGCAGGCTTCTCCTTGCAGTGGCTTCTCGTTGCGGAGCACGGGCTCTAGGCGCACAGGCTTCAGTAGTTGTGGCACGAGGGCTCAGTAGTTGTGGCACACGGGCTTAGTTGCTCCAGCATGTGGGATCTTCCTGGACCAGGGATTGAACCCATGTCCCCTGCATTGGGAGGCAAGGCAAATTCTTAACCACTGTGCCACCAGGGAAGTCCCAGATCTGCATTTTGAAAAGATCACTCTGTCTGCACTATGAACAACAGATGGGGAAAAGGGATGGAAACAAAGCAGATGCAGAACACTGGTTAAGAATTGAGGCTAAAGCAGTCTGTACAACAGGTAGCTTGACTAGTGGTGGTAGAGTTGGAGAGAAGCAGAATATCTGAGAACTATATAGGAAGTAAAACGGACAGGATTTTGTAAAGGATCTGACATGGGGGTAAGGAAGAGGGCACTCCAAGGGCTGTCAACTAAGCATCTGGCCACAATTGGATGATGAGGGTGCCATTCAGTGAGGAAAGAAGCACTAGAAGACAACCAGGGTGGTGGGGGGTTGGGGGGAAACATGAGTTTGGTCTTGGATGTATTGAGTTTGAGATCCCTGTGAGTCATCCAAGGTAAGAGGTCAAATAAGAGGTGGCTTCATGGGTCTGGGGCTCAGGTGGGAACTGGAAATGTAGATCTGGGGATCAGGTTTGTATTGGCTCGTATTGTTTATACCGGGGGTGATCAATGCCATGGGCACAGGTGAGATCCCGAGGTGGAAAGAACAGTGTGAGATGAGGGGAGGACCTAGAACCAAGCCTCTGAAGATCGCAGACACTGAATGACGGCAAGGAGGAGGAGGAGAAGCCTGCAGTAGAGAAAAGAGGAGCAAGAGAAAGAAAACCAGGAGAGTGTGGGACTTAGCAGCCAAGGAAAAAAGTGGTTAGAGGAAGGGGTGGCCAACAGTGCCAAATGCTGTTGAGAAATGATGGAGACTCAGCCAGGGAGGGGGTGGTGAAACCAGACAATGGTCTTGTAGAGGACTAAGGCCAAGGCTGAGTACAGTGCCCAGCCCAGTCCACCATATGCATGCCCCGTGTCATCACTTCCAGTATACCCGTCTGTCTCAGTAAGCTTCTCCAAGGTCGGTCTTGTCCATCCTGTTATCCCCAAAGCCCAGCACAAGGCCAGAACATAGCAGACACTTAATAAATTTTACTGATGAATGAGTGGATGGATGGATGGATGGGTGGGTAGGTGGATGGATGGGTAGATGAGAAGGAAGAACTGGAAACAAAGGAGGAATTGCTGGCATCTGCCTGGGATCTACTATCCTTCAGGGTCTTTTTTTTTTTTTTTTTTTCCTCTTTATACCGCAATGGTCCGCAGACCCAGGGAACGGAGACAGAGCCCCATCCTCTCCCTCCGCTGGGCCCTGGCCCCCCTTCCTCTCTCTGACGAAGAGTCTGGACCGAAGGTTCTGCTGACGTGGGAAGGGGAGGAGAGTCTGGAGGAAGGGGAGGGGAAAGCAGCGCAGAGATCACAGAGACGAAGGAGGCGCCCGCGGCTGCAGAGCAGGGTCTCTCCGGCTTCTGTGTCCGGGCACCGGGCGCGCCACTGGGCCAGAGGGCAGTGCATCCTTTCGGTGCGGGCCGCCAGGGCCCCTGCGGTCGGCAAGCTGGCTCCCCGGGTGGCCACCGGGACCCCCGAGCCCAATGGCGGGGGCGGCAGCAAAATCGACAGCACTGTAGAGATCACCCCCAGCCCCAATGGAGTAAGTGCCCGCGCCCTGGGGGCTACGCCATCATCTCCCAGCACCCCCGCCAAGCGCCCGGCCTTTTCCTTCTGCGCCCCCTCCTCCGCCGCCCGCCTTCCTCCCGCTGGTCCCGGCCTCTTCCCTTACTCTGCGGTTTTCTCCGCTTCACTCTTCTCCTGCCACCACCTCACACACCCCTTACCTCACCCCAACACACAGCAGGTCGGGACCCTCGGAGATGCGGTGCCCACGGAGCAGCTGCAGGGTGAGCGGGAGCGCGAACGCGAGCGGGATGGGGAGGGCGACGCGGGTGGCGACGGGATGGGCAGCAGCCTGTCGCTGGCCGTGCCCCCCGGCCCCCTCAGCTTCGAGGCGCTGCTCGCCCAGGTGGGGGCGCTGGGCGGCGGCCAGCAGCTGCAGCTCGGCCTCTGCTGCCTGCCCGTGCTCTTTGTGGCGCTGGGCATGGCCTCGGACCCCATCTTCACGCTGGCGCCCCCGCTGCATTGCCACTACGGGGCCTTCGCCCCCAACGCCTCTGGCTGGGAGCAGCCCCCCAACGCCAGCGGCGTCAGCGTCGCCAGCGCCGCCCTAGCAGCCAGCGCCGCCAGCCGCATCGCCACCAGTACGGACCCCTCGTGCAGCGGCTTCGCCCCGCCGGACTTCAACCACTGCCTCAAGGACTGGGACTATAACGGCCTCCCCGTGCTCACCACCAACGCCATCGGCCAGGTGAGGCAGCCTGGTGGGCCGCGGGTTTGGGGGCGGGCCGAGAGCGACCAGCGAGGGGCCTCACACCCACTCCTTCCCTCTCACGTCTCTAGTGGGATCTGGTGTGTGACCTGGGCTGGCAGGTGATCCTGGAGCAGATCCTCTTCATCTTGGGCTTTGCCTCTGGCTACCTGTTCCTGGGCTACCCGGCAGACAGGTGAGGGCTGGGCAAGTAGAGAGGAGGGGGTGCTAGGGAGGCTGGCCCAGGCAGCTTGCCTTGGCAAGAGGCTGAAGGGGACTCGGTGGACTCTGCAGTGTTCTCTGGATTTCTTCCGTTCAATGATATGCAGCCCCACCCCTGTCTCAGCTTCACTCCCCATCAAGAGATACTCCTTCCATACCTCTTCCACACAGGGAATAACTCTTCCTTCCTTGCCAATCCCTAGATCTATGGATCAATGGCCTCATCTCAAAAGACAATAGCCCCATCCCTACTGACCAAAACCCCTATATCCACAGATCGAAAGTCCTAACTTCTCCTCTATCATCCCTATCACCACCAAGCACCTCCCTCACCATCATCATGGATTGATAGACTCATCCTTGCTAACAGCCCTATCCACCTGGACTGTTAACTCCATCTCAAAGGCCTCATTCCTAAAGCTCATTATGTTAATTTCTAAATATCAACAGCTCCATTCACACTGACCAATAGCTCAACTCTATAAACAAATGACTACCCTCATGGGGGTCAATAGTTCAACCCCCATGGATCAGTGACCACAATAGCACCCCTCCCCCAAGACCAACAGCCCCATCCTCATGGATCTTCAGTGCTCTCAGGTCCTCTCAGATCAAAAGCCCCATTTCCAGGAATCAGTGGCCTCATCTCAAAGATCAACAACCCATCCCCACCAACCAATAGCTCTTCCCAGGGGTCAAAACTCCCATCTCCTCTGATCCTCGACACCATCTCCACTGACCATCCCTGTGGATTATTAAACTCATCTCCACTGGTCTACAGTCTCATCCAAATGGATTTATAGTTCAACTCCCATGGATCAAAGGCAACCCAACATTGAATAATCCAGTTCCCTAAAATCAATGCCTATCCTCACTGCCCAACAGTCACACACCCCTGTGGGCAAATGATCCTAAACCCATAGGTCAATAGCCCCTCCTTATGCATCAGTGGCCTCAGACCCACAGACTAGTAGCATCATTCCTGTGGAATAATAACCTCATCCTCAAAGACCAATAATTCAGTCTCCTAAATTCAGTAACCTTAGCCAATAAGCTTAGCCCCATGGAAAAATGGCTCCACCCTACTGGGTCAGTAGCTTCACCCTCAGGCTATCGGTGCCCCCTTCCCAATGACCATTGACCCCAGTCTACATCCCCAAAGATCAGTGGTCTTATCCCCCAAAGTCAATAGCCCAACTCAGTAGCCCTGTCCTCACTGACTTATAGTCAGTGACCATCATCATTGACCAATTGTCTCATCTCCTCTGGTCTGTGACCCCATCCTTACTGATTATTCCTATGGATTAATAGATTCATCCCTACTGGCCAACTGTCGCATCCACATGGACTGAGATCCCTATCCCATGAATCAATAGCTCCATCCTCAAAGATCAACGGTCAAATCTTCAAAGATTAGTGATCATCCCTGCTGATCGATGGTACTATCCCATAGATTAAGAGCTCCATTCCCATGGATCAATGGCTCCATCTTCTGGTCAGTGGCCCCATCCCCACTGACCACCCCTATGGATTAGTAGACCCATGCCCCAACCCCACGGAAAAATGGCCTCATCCCCCAAAATCAATTACTCAGTCCCCTAAGATCAAGAGCTCCACTTTCACTGACCAATATTATCCCCATGGACAAGTGGCCAATGGCCTACCTCCATAGATCAATAGCTCCAACCCCATATATCAATGACCCCATCTCCTCTGACCAGTCTGAGCAAGACAAGCTCCATCCCCACTGACCAATAGCTCTCTGCCCAAGGACCAGTGGTTCCAAGTCCCCTAAGCAATATCCCATCCATTCTGATGGTTGGTCTCACTTCCATGAAGAAATGCCCTTATCTCTGACCAGTAGCCCCATCCCAAGAGTCAATGGTCCTACCCCCACAGAACCATAGCCTCGCCCCAGTGCCCAGTAGCCAACCATGGTCCCCATCCTCTCCCATCTTCTCTAGCCTCACTCCAGGGCCTCATCCTCATACCTCCAGCTTTGAAGTGGGCAGCTGGGCCCCACCCAGCAACTCCTCCCCCAGGGAGTCTGGGTGATCAGAGGCTCTCCCTACTTTCCAGGTTTGGCCGTCGTGGGATTGTGTTGCTGACCTTGGGACTGGTGGGCCCCTGTGGAGTGGGAGGGGCTGCTGCAGGCTCCTCCACAGGTGTCATGGCACTCCGATTCCTCCTGGGCTTTCTGCTTGCCGGCGTTGACCTTGGTGTCTACCTGATGCGTGAGTGGCATCCCCCCAGAGCTCCTTCCCTAGGGACTCATGCCTGCCTGTCTGTATCCCCAGGCCATTCCTACTGCTCCCTAAGATCCCCTCAGTCCCTTCTTCAGCCCCAGATTTCAGCTGTCCGGAATCTCAGCTGTCTTTCTGCCCAGGCCTTTGAAGGATCCAGGGGTCTTCCTTCTCTCCACACCCCTCTCTTCCCATGATCTTTAAGGCTTTCCTTGCTCTGGACTTACTGCTGTCAGGGAATGAGCCTTATTTTAAAAATGAAATCCTGAGTAGCTGTATGACCTTGAACAAGGGTTAATGTGAAAGTCAAATAAGAGGTCTGGTGTGAAAGGGCCCATAATTTGGGAATGCTGAAAACCCACCAGGGACTCTGACCCTCGAGCCCTCCCAGGTTTGAGTGGGAGAGGAGAGAGAACTGAACAACTCTCCACTCTTTGCCTTAGCGGTTGGCCTGTGGGAGGCGATGGCTGCAGCCTCCACTCAGGGGCTGACCTTGCTCTCTGTCCTCCTCCCTCCCTCTCCCCTCTTCTCTCCCTCGCCTCCTTCCTCCCTGGCCTCTCTTCCCTGTCCCTGCTGTATCTCCAGGCCTGGAGCTGTGCGACCCAACCCAGAGGCTTCGGGTGGCCCTGGCAGGGGAGTTGGTGGGGGTAGGGGGGCACTTCCTGTTCCTGGGCCTGGCCCTTGTCTCTAAGGACTGGCGATTTCTGCAGCGAATGATCACCGCTCCCTGCATCCTCTTCCTGTTTTATGGGTCAGTATCACCCTCCACCTGTTGTCTGGCCGTTCCCATCTCTACCTCCAGCCTAGCTCTAGCCTGGAGACCCCTCCTCTTCTCCATTGCCCCTTGTCCAGGCCTGCTCCAGCCCCAGCCCCTCAGAGGTGGGAGTTTTCCATCCCTGGGTCAGGATTCAGGAGGCCTCACAGTGTACCCCCCACCCCACCCCCAGCTGGCCTGGTCTGTTTCTGGAGTCTGCACGGTGGCTGATAGTGAAGCGACAGATTGAGGAGGCCCAGTCTGTGCTGAGGATACTGGCTGAGCGGAACCGGCCCCACGGGCAGATGCTGGGAGAGGAGGCCCAGGAGGCCCTGCAGGGTAAGAGACAGGGGTCCCTACAGGTGATACCTCAGTGTGCACACATGATGGTGCCCTCTGTTGTAGCTGTACCACCTTCTCCCAGGGTCCCTACCACCCATGTGGGAGGACCCTGGGTTCTCAGCTGTTCCTTCTAACAGACAGCTCCTCTCTGTCTCCCAAGACCTGGAGAACACCTGCCCTCTCCCTGCAACATCCTCCTTTTCCTTCGCTTCCCTCCTCAACTACCGCAACATCTGGAAAAATCTACTTATCCTGGGATTCACCAAGTGAGCCTGGGTGTCTGAGCCAAGGGCCAGGCCAGTAGCTGGGATGGGGGCTGGCCGGGTGGGGAAAGCCTGAGGACCCCTACAGAGGCCAGCCAGGGCTGTGAAAGGCTGCAGATGGAGATTCAGACACCTTTCTTCGCCTCCCCACCCTGTCTCACAGCTTTATTGCCCACGCCATTCGTCACTGCTACCAGCCTGTGGGAGGAGGAGGGAGCCCATCGGACTTCTACCTGTGCTCCTTGCTGGCCAGCGGCACAGCTGCCCTGGCCTGTGTCTTCCTGGGGGTCACCGTGGACCGATTTGGCCGCCGGGGCATCCTGCTTCTCTCGATGACCCTCACTGGCATTGCGTCCCTGGTCCTGCTGGGCCTGTGGGATTGTGAGCATCCTCCCTTCCCCACGGTTTGGGCTCAGCAAAGGAACCCCAGCAGAGGTGCCTCAGACGGGCTCAGCCACTGCTTCTGGCACAGGCCTCCCAAAACCAGACCAGACCCTGCCCAGATCTTCCACAATTCTCCCCCTGGCCGCACAGTCCTGTCTGTTCTCTCAACCGATGAGTGAATGCCCAGACCCGCCCGGCTAGGGATCAGAGGGGATGATGGCAGGGACTAGGCCAAGCATGACCTCCCCACCTCTGTTCACACGCTCCATCTCTTGCTCCTCCAGATCTGAACGAGGCTGCCATCACCACCTTCTCCGTCCTTGGCCTCTTCTCCTCCCAAGCTGCTGGCATCCTCAGCACACTCCTTGCTGCTGAAGTCATCCCTACCACTGTCCGGTGAGAGCAGGGGTGCTGCCAGGGGAGTCTCCAGCTGAGGACAGGGCCTGAGGGATGAAAAAGGGGAGGCTGCTGGAGAAGAGCTGGGGTGAGGCCCACAGCTACAGGCTCAGTGCCTTGTCTGTCTCTCCCAGGGGCCGAGGCCTGGGCCTGATCATGGCACTGGGGGCACTTGGCGGGCTGAGTGGCCCAGCCCAGCGCCTCCACATGGGCCACGGAGCTTTCCTGCAGCACGTGGTGCTGGCGGCCTGTGCTCTCCTCTGCATCCTCAGCATCATGCTTCTGCCGGAGACCAAACGCAAGCTCCTGCCCGAGGTGCTCCGGGATGGGGAGCTGTGCCGCCGGCCCTCCCTGCTGCGGCAGCCACCCCCTAACCGCTGTGACCACGTTCCACTGCTTGCCACCCCCAACCCTGCCCTCTGAGCGACCTTCGAGCACCCTGGCAGGAGGCTGGCCCATACAGAAAGGTGGCACAAGGCCCTGGCAAGGAGAGCGGGAGGACTGAATGAGGAAGGCAGGGCTGCCCTGAAGCCTCAGAGGCATCTCACGCCAGTCATCATGGAGAGCTCAGAGGGCTGCCCTCAACCCCATCTCCTCCTTGCTGCTTTGTGTTCACTTCCTTGGCAAGAGTCAGGGGACAGGGAGGGAGCTCCACACTGTATCCACCAGGTCTGGGCTCCATCCTATGCCCAAAGACATCCTCCCAGACCTCATTCTTTCTTGCTCTATCATTCTGTTTCAATAAAGACATTTTGAATAAATGAGCATACCATAGCCTGGACTTCCCTCCCTTCTGTTGTCCTTCTCACTGTCTCTTGGGGGAAGGTTTCTCTCAGTGGAACCCAAACCAGTAAAAATCTCCCTCCCCCTCCCTGCACCTGCCCCCTCTTCTCACTCCCCCACCATGTTAACTTACAGACAACTACCACCACCCCTTACTCACTGCTTGCTATGCTGCTAGGACTGGGCTAGGCACTTTACAAACTTCATTTAATCATTTAAGCCTTACAACATTGCAAGGTAGGTGTTTGGATCAATTAAAGCTTCTTGTTTTTGCAAGCAATAATAACTGACTGACTCTAATGAACTTAAACACAAAGGCAATTTATTAAAGGGATCTGGTGGGGCAGGTTGTGGTGTGGAGCTCACAGAGCAGAAGGAAAAGCAGAACTAGTCATAAAAGGCCAGGAGCCAGAAAAGGCAAGAGAGCAAGTGACTGGCTAGCTTGTGTATCACCCCACCCCACCCCTATTACTGACAACTGGGGAGGGGAAAGCAGTACCTGAGTGCTGCTGGCAGAAGTAGGACTGGAGTTGTGCAGGTGAACACAATGGATGCCCATGACAGTATTCTTCTTCTTTTACAGATGAGGAAACTGACACTCAGAGACTCAGTAACTTGCCCAAGGTTACAAAGTTAACGAGTGCCAGCTGGGATATAACTGGATCCTGGAGCTGGAGCTCTCTAGGGATGCACACCGTGGCCAGCTTCCCAACTCCTTCCAATCTTTGCCTGCGACCCTTGGAAGTGAGGAGTGAGTCTCTAGGCCCCCCTGGGAGGGGGCTGTAGGAGACTAGGCCTTCCACCTCAGTGCCAGGGCCTGCCTTTGACTAGCCCTGGCCTGGCTTTGGGCAAGTCTCTTAACCTCCAGCTTCCTTCAAGGGTTGCTATGAGGATTAAACAAGATAGTACATTGTAAGTGCCTCTTAAATTATCCCACTAGATGGTAAGCCCCTTGAGGACAGGAACTTTGTCTTACGCAACTTTGAAACACCAACATGTGACCCACGATAGGTGTTCAAAAAGTTGTATTTGTTAATTCTTTAAACAAATGTTTCCTGTGCCGGATTTACAGACCAGTTCCATCCTGGATGTTTAGGGCGTGGGCCATCCTTCAAGGAGCTTAAAATCCATCTAACACTGGGAATATTAATGAGGAGGAAGAGAGACCAGTGGTTTGGAGCATCAAAAGGCTGCCTCCTGAAGGAGGTGAGACTCAGAGAGGCAGAAAGACCTTAGGCAAGGGCCCAGGAGACAGGTACATAGCTCTCAATTCAAAGGACATAGGGAGAGCAAAGGCCTGGAGGTAGGAAAGGGTGAGGAGGTCCTGGAGAGAGGAATTCTTAAGAAAAGCATGTCTTGAGGCCAGCCTCTTCCAGAGAAGGGGGGCCCTGTTACCCACAGATCTCTGCAACACCGGTGTTCCTATCTCCTTCCCCTCTGCCAGTCCATGCCCCAGGCCCAAAGCTCTAGGAACTAAGCCATGCTTCTGGGCTCTTGATAATAATCACTGGAGAACTCATAAGAACCCTTCTCATTTAATCTTCATAGCCCCCTGTAATAGGTATTAGTAGTTTTATCCTATCTAACTACTGAGGAAATGGAAATGAGAGAAATGGAAGGAACTGCCATGAAGAGGCAGAGCGAGGACTTAAACCCAGGCCTTCTGCATCACACATTCTGTAGAACAGTGTCTGTGTGGTCCAAACTGACTCCAATGTTGACTTTTTAGCTTTGGGTTGCCAATGATAACACTCATTGAGAGATCATACTCATTGCTGTCTCCAGAGTTTCTGTAAGAACCAACAGGATGGTAGATAAGTACTTTTTGGAAGAGCCCAGGTAAAGCCAAGGAGTTACTTATATGCTAATGACACTGTCCAAAGCACACTGTGAGGAACGGTGTCAAAGAGGCATTTCAAAGAACCCATTCTCTGCATACCGCTGGAAAAAGGTCCATGGAAAGAAAATAAAAACACTCAGGAAGCTAGAGCAACTCCTGTAGGAGGGTAGGTGAAACACAGCAAGTCTCTCTGACTTCAACCAAAGAGGTAAAGGCAAAGAGAATGATAGCATACAAGAAGCATCAAGGAAGCACGAAGATACACTCCCTCATCCCCAAGCAATTCCTGGTCTAGGTGGACAGGACCAGCGTGTGTAGCTACAACTGGCATCTTGTCAGTTGCTCTAAAATTCACCAACCACATGATCTCACTGGATCGTCATCAACAACCCCATGAAAAATGGTTATTATTTCTTAGGCTTTTACAGATGGGGAGACTGAGGTTTGGAGAGGTAACTTTTGAGGTGACTGGTAATTAGAGTAGCCAGATCTTGACAACTGAGAGCCTGCAATCTTCTTACCGCATACCAGATAGAAAATAATTCTAAACACCATGAAAGAAAGTATTACTTATCCTGTAATATTAAGTTTAGAAGGTACCCCAGGAACTTGGAGATCATTTACGGGCAAACAAGGAAATGACTACTTTCCTTGGAGAGGTTGTACTGACGAAGCATGAACAGTTCTTAGAAATGTTTTAGTTGGATTCACAAGTAAAAGCCATTATGGATTATTGAGGAGAAAATTAAAAGGATATACGGGGTACATTTTTAACCTAAAAAATGTTACATGAAGTGATATGAAAGCCACTCCCATTCCTCATTCAGTCAACCTAGCCCGGCTACCGTGCAACCGATTTTTACTGATTATCCACTACTGTCTTGTGCTGCCTCAGGTCTGGGGGACATGGTCCTTGCCTGCAAGAGCTCAGAACACTGGGAGATAAATAATTACAATCCTATATAGAAAATGCAGAAAAATATAAAAAGTGCTGTAGCAGCTCTAAGGAGGACAGGATATACTCTATTGGAGGCAGTCAAGGAAAGATTCTCAGATATTTGGATTGGACCCTACAGGGTAAGTCTTGAGTTTGCCAGGGACAGAAAGGAAGAAGAAACAGTGCAAAGCCTAGAGACACGACAGAACATGGTATACATGGAGAAGAGCAGTGTTTACCTTAAACTTCCACGGAATAAAAGGCAGCTATGAAAACCCACAGCTAACATCATATTTATCAGTGAAAGTCTGAAAGCTTTACCCCCAAGATCAGGAACAAGACAAAGATGTCTGCACTCATCACTTCTATTCTACATTGTACTGGAGGTTCTAGCCAGGGAAATGAGGCAAGCAAATGAAATACAGGCATACCTCAGAGATACTGAGGGCTCAGTTCCAGACCACTGCAACAAAGCAAGTTACACAAATGTTTTGGTTTCCCAGTGCATATAAAAGTTATGTTTACACTGTACTGTAGTCTATTAAGTGTGCAATAGCATTATATCTATAAAAGACAATGTACATATTTTAATTTAAAAATACTTTATTGCTACAAAATGCTAACCATCATCTTAGCCTTCAGTGAGTCGTAATCTTTTTGTTGGTTTAGGGTTTGAAATATTGTGAGAATTACCGAAATGTGACACAGAGACATGAAGTGAGCAAATGCTGTTGGAAACTGGCACCAAGAGTCTTATTCAATGCAGGGTTGCCACCAACCTTCAATTTGTAAAAAATGTAATCTCTACCAAGTGCAATAAAGCAAAACCCAATACAATGAGATATGCCTGTAAAAAGCACCAAGAATGGAAAAGACAATGTAAAACTATTTTTGCAGGTGACATGACCTTGTATACAGAGAATCCTAAAGAGTCCACCAAAAAGCTATAAGAACTAAATAAGTTCAGCAAGGTTACTTAACTAGTGACTGAATGTGGAGGATACAAGATCAATATACAAAATCAATTGTTTTTTGGCTGCACCACGCAGCTTGCAGGATCTTAGTTCCCTGAGCAGGGATTGAACCAAGGCCCCCGGCAGTGAAACACCAAATCCTAACCACTGGACCACCAAGGAATTCCCAAAATCAGCTGTATTTTTATACAACTGCAATGAACAATTTGAAAATGAAATTAAGAATTCCATTTAAAATAGCAAAACCTCAAATACTTAGGAATAAATTTAATAAAAGTGCAAGACCTGTACACTGAAAACTACAAAACGTTGTTTAAAGAAATTAAAGATCTAAATAAATGGAAAGACATACTGTGTTCATAGATTGGAAGATTTAATATTGTTAAGATGCAATCTTCTATAAACTGATCTACAGATTCAGTGTAATCCCTGTTAAAATCTTTGCCATCTTTTTTGCAGAAATTGACAAGCTGATTCTAAAATTCATATGGAAATGTCAAAGACCCAGAATAGCTAAGCAATCTTGGGAAAAAAGCAAAATTGGAAGACTCACACTTTCCACTTTCAAAACTTATTACAAAACTACAGTAATGAAAACTGTACTACTGGCATAAGGATGGACACATAGATTGATAGAACAGCATCGAGAGTCCAGAAATAAACCTGTGGACTTACAGTCAACTGATTTCAACAAGGGTGTTAAGGCCATTCAATGGGGAAAGAATAGGCTTTTTAACAAATGGGGTTGGGACAAATGCATTATTTGCATGCAAAAGAATGAAGCTGGACCTCTACCTCACACCATACACAAAATTAATTCAAAATGCATCAAAGACTTAAATATAAGAGCTAAAACTATAAAACTCTTAGGAAAAAACATGGGCATAAACCTTCGTAACTTTTGTGCTTCAAAGGACACTATCAAGAAAGTGAAAACCGGGACTTCCCTGGTGGTGCAGTGGTTAAGAATCCTCCTGCCAATGCAGGGACACAGGTTCGAGCCCTGGCCTGGTAATATCCCACAGGTCACAGAGCAACTAAGCCTGTGCACCACAACTACTGAGCCTGCCCTCTAGAGCCCGCAAGCCACAGCTACTGAGCCCACATGCCACAACTACTGAAGTCTGTGTGCCTAGAGCCCATGCTCCGCAACGAGAAGCCACCGCAATGAGAAGCCCACTCGCTGCAACTAGAGAAAGCCTGCGTGCAGCAACGAAGACCCAACTCAGCCAAAATTAAAT